AGCATCTGTTTGAGTTTGAGTGGAGGAAAGCACTGAAGAAAGATATCCTGAATAATTATATCGGTCTAGAGGGAAATCTGTTGTCCTGTCACGTAACACCAAAACTCGGGAATCACCCAATAAAGTTGACTGGCAGCAGATTCGGGACGGATGAAAGTACAGCTCAAGATTAATGTCTGGAACTCATTGCCACTGGATGCGGTGTTGCTGCTAATCTAGACAAATTCCATAGAGAAAGAGGAGGGAAGATGGCATGCTATAGCCCAATCTCAGAAGCTAAGCAGGGTCAGTACATGGAAGGGAGACCACCAAGGGAGACTCTGCAGAAGAAGGCCATGGCAAACCACCTCTGCTTCTCCCTTGCCTTGAAAACCCCTTGCTGAGGTCGCCATAATCAATGCCATTCGACCAAGATCTACCTCATCTTGCACTGACACTTTGTTGTTGTATTGTATTGTTTTATTGTTTTAGACTGTTTTATTTGTTTTAATTCTGGCACATGTGCCCCGTTGTTAGCCGCCCTGAGCCTTCGGGGAGGGCAGAATATAAATCCAAAAATTATTTTTTAAATTAAAAATAAATAAATTGGCTTGGCTGCAATGGCCCTTTACACATGGACAGACAGACACACAGAGCAAAATCCATCTGCAGAGCTCTGGATCTCTGAAAATGGAATTCTGAGCACTTCACCCACCTTTAGTTCCAAGATATGAGCTTTTGTGTGCAAGCACACTTCTTCAGATACAATGGAATGGAAATACGGTAGAAACAAGAGTCATAGATATAGAGAGTAGGCAGTAGATTAGCATACAGAATAATGAAGATGTTTTTAACAGATTAAAAGAATAACAAGCTTAGTTTATATGGCTATCAACTCGTGGGGAAAAACATAGTAAGAAAATAGATATGTCAGAACTGGAGACTGGAGATTGATGTATCTTTAACTGTGGATTCAGGCTGGGGCAGGGAGGGGACCGGGGAGAGGAGACATGGTGGAGACAGTGGCATAAAAATGGTATAGATTTGTAGACGGGCCCTTTAGAAGGAGCTGCGGTGGCTCAAGTGGTTAAGATGCTGAACTGCAGGCTGTGGAAGGTCAGTAGTTCAGCAGTTCGAGACCCGAGTGTGCCGCATGACGGAGTGAGCTCCCGTCTCCAGTTCCAGCTCCTGCCAACCTAGCAGTTCGAAAGCAAGAAATTGCAAGT